CCCACCCAACATTCTATCATATTCATATATGATTCCGTCAAACAAATCTATAACACTCTTCTCCTTTAATATCTTGAAATTTCGAATCTGATAGCTTTCCAATTTGTAACATCTCACATCTTAAAATGAAGGAAGAAAAGAAAGGAGTGCATATCAAAGCAAATCAAAGAAATGACCGTTGGAGAATTGAATTAGATGGTTTTCGGAAGTGTCATGGCTATTATTTTTTAAAGTATTTTTTATTTAAAAATATATTAAAATAATATTTTTTATTTTTAAAAATTATATTTTATATCAATACATTAAAATGATATGAAAATACCACAAAAAAATTAATTTAAAGCAAGGAAAAAAATTAATTGACATCAACATAAAAAAATTCAAAAATACTAAAAAAATAATTTAAAACAAAAAAAATTAAAATTTAACAGAAAAGAGGTTGAAACTCAATATCAAACACCCTTTAGATGTGAGTGTTTCACTTGTAAGATATTTTGAATTTTATAAAAATATTATTATTTTTCATAGGTGTCATATGAATCAAGTCAAAAAGATATTAGAAAAATATCTTTAAGATAACTCATATATTATATAGTTTTTAAATTAAATGACAATTAACATTTAGAGTTTATTGAACTTTATTAGCACCCCAAATACGCCCTACCTAAGGTAGACTGCATTGTTTTGTCTGATAAAATATGTAATCATGTTATGGTGTCTAATTATATATCTATCTAAGGTTTAAGAAAAGCCCTTCTTTGTATGAAGATCTTTATCTTATCAGGTAAAAACCTAAATATTCTATGTCATTAAAAAAATATTTTTTTATTTAATATCAGGAATACGTGTTACGTATAACCTCATAATCTCAGATACTAAACAAAACAAAATAATTTTTTTTTGTTATTTTTGATATTTTGGCCAATGTTCTCTTGATTTTAATAAACTGGTTATTAAAGTCAAAATGCATGTTAAAAATATTGTTTTTGATGTAAAAAAAATATAATATGATTTTTTAACTTTGAGACACTTGGCCGTATGCACAAAAATATTTTGTTTGTTTCTTTTCAATTTTTTTTTTTTAAGTATTGACAAACCAAAACCGGGTATTTTATATACCAGATTTGTATTTTTTTTTTATGACATAAAATACAGACCAATACTAAGCAAAAAGGCATAAATACAAAAAAAAACAAGGATAAATTAAAAATATATATAAAAAAATTAATTAATTAAATTTTTTTTCAAAATGGGCCGGACTCAGCCCAGATCAGTGGGGTGGGCTGGACCCCGCCCAAAACCAAATGGGCTGGTTACTATACAGTACCCGCCCCCCTCATTTGCTGGAGAACATGAATTAATTCACGTTCTGCATGCAAATGCAAACCGTGGTTGAGCAAAGGACAAAGGAGACAGGGTAGCTGGAGGTTACTTGGGATTGGCGTCGAGGCGGTGTTGCTGGAGGCGGAGACACAGTGGCGAGCGTTTTGCTGTGTTTTTCTTCTCTCTCTCCTCGGTTTTTCACACTTTTCTGCTTCTCTTTTCCCTTCTCCTCTCTCTCTCTTGTGTTTGGTTTCCTTCTCTCCTTCCTTTTCTCCCTCTCTTCATCTTTTTTTTTTTTTGCTGCCTCCCCTGCTTTTATAGGCAAAAACAGGGGAGGGGACGTGGCTGGGGCGGCCACTGTGTTGCTGCTCCTCCATCGTTCTTCGAGCACATGGAAAGTAGGTTGTGTCAGCGTCTTTTTGAAGGTGAAATGTCGGCAAAAAGATCGGTGACAACAGAGAAGAAAAACACATTTTCTTCCCCTGTTCTCTGTGTGTCCAGGGGAAGAAGATGATGGTGCCGTTCAAAAGGGCACCGTTTTGAGTTTTTTTTTTGTGAACAGTGCATGAAACGACGTCGTTTTTTTTCCAAAACACGCCGTTTCATTTAAATGAGAATTGGCGCCAAAATGCGTCAAATTCAAAATCAGGCATTCAATTTGGGCGTGTTTTACAATTTGGTCCTTAGATTTGGATTTTCTCAATTAAGTCCCTAATTGGCCATCAAACTTTAATATTTATGTAATTAAGCCCTTGATTTGACCAAATTAACTCTCAAAAATTATATTTTGACCCCAGAACTTTAATTTCTTCTAATAAAAGCCCAAATTAACTTAAAAATCAAATTTTCTTGCAATCAAAACCTCCATAAATTCAATTAAACCTTTATTAAAATTTAATTGAATCCATAAACATCTTATTTTGAACTTTTCTTCCTAAAATTAAATTTTCTTTGTCAACAGGGTTCTTTGTAATTGTAAACCTCCTCAACTAATTGTTTTGATCATTTTTGGAGCATTCTGACATCTCCTTTTTTACTGTTATTATTTTTAAATTAGTTATTATTATTATTATTATTAATTTTCTTA